CCTGGAGAGGCAATTGGTGGCATGTTGGAGAGGGCAGAAATCAGCAGTGAATTATCCACCAGTTTGCCTGAGCTGAACTTCAGTGATCTTTAAAGCATCATTTAAGAGCTGCCTCATGCTTTTTAATGAGGAAACAAATTAAAAAGGAAAACACATAAGGAGTTGTTTTCAACATGCTAAAATGCTTTTGTACAGATATTGCACAAGGGAGGAGGAGGAGTGATCTTAGTCCATGTCCTGTTTGTCATATTGGTACATCAAGATTTGGTGGGAAGGTCTAGAATCGTTTCAATGACACTGTGCATCTTGTTAATAGCTTCCAGTGTCTCTTTCTAGAAATGAAACAATGGTATTAATGAACTCCAATATACATCAAATATGACATATATCTTTTTTTCCAAAACTTAAATAGTCTGTAACCTAACACAAGCAAGAAAAATATTCTGGAAGTTAATTCATCTTAAACATTAGCAAAGCCCGTTAATTTGGTCGGTATCTGTAATCCAAGAAGGAAGGAAACATCTACTATAGTATAGAGCCTATACTATATTACATGTATGAAACCATTAATTTGCCACAGTGCACCAGCAAGTGATTAAGACAAACTTTGCTATATATGGAGGCATGTTACAGTTTTGTGCTCGTAGACAAATTTTCAGGACAGTGGGGCTCAACATGTCTTGTTTAGGAGCAGTTTGAATTGGATAATTCTGGGTGTGCCCATCTTGTTTTCTTTACCACTGACGTGTTACACTGTAGTCTTTGGAGTCATAAGGGAACTAATTTGTCTAAGTGACAGTGTATCCAAGGGTACTGATTTTCGATTAGTTGGGGAAGAAATCGCTGTAGCTTCTTAATTATCATGCCTTGGGTCATTTTCAGTGAATGGCAAATATTAAAATCTAAGAGTCATGCTGGTTGGGTTCTTATTCAACCTAAAATTAAGCCTATATTATTTAAGTCAATGAGGAAATACGTCAAAGTACACGTGGATTTATTTGTGATGAAGTTCTCTTTAGGTTGCATTGTGTCACTACACTTTTGAGAATAATATTGCAATAAAAGTTACTTTCTCCTTGACAACTTTATGGTTAAAATAATACACACATGCAAGACATACTTGCAACTTTTAAAGTGAAAGGTTTCCAGTTGTGGGAATTAACAGAAAAGTCATGAATGACGTTTGAAAAATAAAGCTACAGTATAAGAATATAACATATTAGGTGTTTCTAATATTACATCTCCTGTCAAATGTGTAGTCTTTGCATTTTTGTTAAAAGTCTGGATTTAATTTATGCAGTGATGCATTCTTATTGATTGGACTACCCACAGATTTAAAAAAACAACTTAAAAAATAAGGCACGTTTTCCTCCCCAGTGTTTTAGCTTGTTTTTCTCAGTATGTGGGATTCTCATTTTACTTCATGGAAGTAAAAAAGTATATTGAGCAAATACACTTTTTGAGACAACCATTATTAACTGAATTGCAACCCCAGAATTCTTAATCATAGAAGGTCCCAGACTTAGGCATCTTTATAGTGACAAATGAACTAATTAGAATAGATTAATGCAAAAGCTGCTTATCTTTTTCTGAACCATCCAGGTTTGAAGATAAGATTAAACTAATTTTGAATTGCAGCTCTTACAGTTGCATCTTTTTTCCAAGGCCTAGATTTAGTAGAGACCTGCTAAAATTGTCATGAAGTCCTCAATCTTATTCTGATTAATAGAACCCCTGAAATCCCGTTGGTATGACATATCAGCATACTGGACAAGGCTGAATCTCTCACCTATCCTGTGTTGAAAAAAAAAAAAAGCCTTGAATAGGAACAACCCCAATCTCAGGGTAAAAGTAATTTCAGAAGAGGAAAAGGGGTACAGGCAAGGGAGAGGAGAAAAGGTGAGGAATTAGCAACAGGAGATTTAAACAGTGAATAGTCCAATAGTTCAGAGAGTGATGGGAGGAAGCAATGGTTGCTCCCACACTTTGCATTCGTGACTTGTTTGCTTCAGATTTGGGGAAGCATGGACAGAAGTCTAATTCAGTGAACTCTGGACAAAACAATTTATCACAATGAATGTAGCTGATTGTATTAATGCAATAAAGCTTGCATGTATTCATCAATAAACTGGACTTTGGTAGAAATATTATTTTCTGAAGTTTAGTTTTTAAACAATTAGGAGGGATGAGGAAGAGAATAACTAGTCCAAGTCCTTAGAGAACATTGATAGGATGGGAGGCACATAGGTTTCTGAAGGATCGCATGCCAAAGGGTAGGTGTCATGACAAGGTAGGCATACTTCTCAGGTTCCAATATTGTAAATGGCACTATTTAATCAAAGAGACCCAGAGTGTGCCAAATATACTGGCACATACTGGCTAAGTTGAAACTATGGGAAATTCCTGAAGTAAATTGGCCCTATGCCATGTAGGGCATTACAGGTAACAATTGCCTTGAACTGCAGTCAGAAGCAGACTGGCAACCAATGCAGCTGTGGAACAGAGATGCCATATGACATACTAAAACACGTTCATCATTGCCCATGCCGCTACGTTCTGCTCCGGATGGTTCTGAGTTATTTTAAAGGACAGCTCCATGTAGAGTGCATAGAAGTTGAGCCTTGGATTGACACAGGAATAGATGGGTGACTATCTGAAAGGACACAACTTGCGCACTAGATTGAGCTGAGTGAAGTCCCTTCCCCCGTTGCATATCCTGCAAATAGAGAAGTGCTAGCTCATACAAGAGTATGGCTGGAAGGTCCTTGAAGGTCCTTCAGGGGGCCCTAACCACTCAATCTTGGAAGGATTAAGGCAGTCATTTCCTTCCTATCTAGGCCCACACAGCCTCCAGGTACTCAGCCAAGATCTTGGCAGCAACACTTGGATGGTTTGGAATTGAGAGATATAATTGGATATTGATATATTCAAAGTCTAATTACATTTGCAGTGCTGTAAATTACTCAGAATAAATCTACTTAAGTAGGTTTTTCTTCCTCATCCTTGAATATAATTTACCTTTAAACAAACTTCTTCAATATGTTTTTAAGGCCATGAACTTTGCTGTGCAGAAAGCAAGTCATACTGTACTGATACTTTATCATAAGTACATAAACATAATGCACAGTAGGGCTACTATACAGCTAAGATGTGAAGGATCACTAAATTGTAGCAAAAATTTTATATTGTGTATCGTCTTGTTGCCATCTAGTGGCTATCTATTTTTGTAGCCTGGATCTGATAGCTATACCATAACGCATCCTGCAATGGCAAACAGATTTGGTTGCAATAATAAGAGTTCCTTTTATCTTGATTAGTGTCCCACCCTTTCTAGCTTCAAAGGTAACCACTGAAAGTGATTTCTAGTTTCTTGCCAATGAACAAAATTATGCCTGAGCCTGGAATTAATAAAAATTAACCCACAGAAGCTATCAAAGCTTTCTGTCACCTTCAAAGGGATCTATAAGGACTTGGCACATTGCCCACTAATGCTGTTAGAGTCTACTTCTTGTGAAGTGAAATCTTGAGTACCATTTTGTACTAGCCTCAGGGAAACTACAACACTAAAGGAGACAGCTGAGCTTAACAGAACAAGTAGAAAATCCTTTGCAGATTTGCCTAGGAATTCCTTGATACATTTGAGGCCCATCATCATTGAAGACCTTCTGAGAAATAGCCTAGTACAGGGACAAGAACCCTTTTTGCAACTGAAGGCTCTTTTTATTTATTTTTGGTTCTGAAGACCATAGAAAGCATGGGAGTGATGCTGAACGAAAAAAAATCTCAGCTAAAATCACTGGTCTTGTTTTCAGAAGAGAGCTGTTGGTTTTTAGAAAATTAAGCTTAATAAAAATATTTGGGAGCTAATGTCATTACATTTCTGACATAAGAATATTATATTATTTGGTGACTTCCTGTCTAATGGTTGTGGGGAAAATAGGAGGAAGGAGTGTTAGGTGTGTTCACTGTCTTTAGTTACTTATAAAATAATAAAGGGAATTAAAAAACAAAATAAGGTGATCTTGAAATGAAGTAGCAGACCCGTGATGTTATAGGCTGGTTAAGAATTGACTCTTGACGTTCTTTCATCCTGCAAAAGGTCCACTTGACATTTAGAGATTCTAGTACAGAGTTCCTAAATAAGTTATCACTCTCCGGCTTCTCTATTCTCCATATTAAGGCTTATATTTAGTATATAAACCCAGCTTGTACATGAAAACATAGCAGCTTTTGAATATGATGAATGACATGAATTGTCTAACCTTTGACAGAAGGTGAAGAGGAAGAGAAGGGAATGCATGTGGCAAATTTCAGATGTTCATGCCTTCCAAATAGCCAGGACTGTTCGAGCTTGGTAAATAGTAGCACAGAAAGCTAGATACAGCTTTCAAACAGCAGCACCAATTAGAGTTATTGCACAATATTATTGTTCCAAGCATTATCAACAATACTGGCAGGATTAAACATATACTTAGATAAAATACTTAGAATGACAAAAAACATCTTGTGTGCCATCCCTTAGTATTAAATAAAGAAAAAGCAGAGGGAAAAGGTGCTCCAGTAGCAATAGTCAAGACTATGCAGCGGGAATACTGAATACCATTAACTGGAGTAGAAGATTACTGCTTTCTAACTTTGTCTCAACTTGCTAGAGATATTTGCACGGCCCCGTACAAAAATGAATGCTGGACTAATTTTCTTAGTATAATTCAGAGGGCCCTGATTAAAAGGATGAGATCACTACTTCCTTCTGGAACACATTTTAAATCTTGATAAAAACATGAAGTGTAATTCAAAGAAAATAAGAGAGCCAACTTGATATCCCAGTCACACTTTGGTTGCGTTTCCATTCTCAAGAAACACACCATATTCTATATATTCCATATTTTTTTACTTTTTGTAAAAAGAGCACCCCATACAGTGTATTTTTTCAGAATCCAACAAGCCTATCTTTGATAGGAAGCCAGCATTTGAAAAGATTGCATTTTTTTTCTCTAACATCGCATGTATCCAGTCACAGTAAATGAAGATGTATTGAGAAAAAGGTCTTGGTTAAGCTGATTCTCAAAAATAAGAAAAAAAGACAAGCATTTTTTAAAAGTAAAGTTATTTGACTTGCAACTCTATAGTTATTTGCAGGTCAGTATAGCAGCTCCAAAATTGCAGAGTTGCTCCCCAGCTGGAATCCTTTACAAGCTTTGTAGCCTTTTAATAGGTTCTGTTTGTTTGTTTGTTTGTTTGTCTTTCAATTGTTTAGTAGCTGTAGAGGGAAAGAGGTGTGTCTTCCATCATGTCATCCTGTAAGAAAGAGAAAAACTTAATTTTGTGCTAGCCCAGACATTAGTGAGAGAAGTCTAAGACATGCACTATACATATTCTTAGTGACTTCTGAACCATCCCGTAATGAATCTGAGCGTCTGCCATCTCAAAGAATTACCCTTTGGAACAGGCAGACTAGGCAACTAATGTTAAGGTACAGTGGCAGTGAGGCCATATCCCAGACCAGATTCTCATGCTTTTCTCATGTTGAGAAAAGTACTATTGTCAGCTGTTCGTCCGAGATTGAGGGGGTGAACGATAAGATATCAACTCACTCCTGTAGCTTTAGTTAGGTTTTTTATTCGTCTTCCACACCACCACAACAGGTAAGAGCGATCAAATTATGTTTAAAGTCAGCTCTGGGTTGCAACAAAACCCAGAGCTGTATTTATACTTGTTATACTTTAGATAACAATATAATTACTATAACCATCTTCACTGCCTAACATCCGTCATCCTTAAATTAAAGAAACATGGTAACTGCACCTTTCCCCTGCTCGAGGAGCCCATGTACCCTCATTTATTTCTTATCATTATTACAACATCACCCCCTTGACATCCAGCCATGAATCATTATTATTACACCACTCCTTGTCAGGAAGCCGATGTTAGTTATTTGACGAATATTCGTTATCGCATCCACGTGGCAACACTAGGTAAGTGAAAGAATTTGGTCGTATCACATCCTGGCTGTCTCGGCTCCAGTCCGTTCTTTATTGGAGTCGTGACACTATTAGTTCATTAAGCTTGAAATGGGGAACTGATTTAGATAGCTGCCATGATGTCAACTTTTAGACTATTCAAATAAGGCTATTCCACTGATTTGGAAAAACTCAGCTCTAGCTACAGACATAGCAATCCCTTTTCCTTCCTATCTCCTTGGGTATTCACTAAATATGTTTGCTATTCTCAATACATAATCCTTTACCAATTATATTTGAATGCTGCTAAGGATCGGTTATCAACATTTGCCTTTCTACGTACACATTGGTATTGTGACCTTTGCTCCTCCCCTTCAAAATTGTAGAATTCCTGTTCCCATCTAGAAGAAAAACAACAAAATGGGTAAAAACCCAGCAGATGCTCACCATAGGCAAGTCCTGGAGACGTCTAAACCGTAGTCTACTACTACGTTGTCGATACCTCAAGAAACCCAGGAGAGTCAGAATCCCTACTGTCACAACAAAAATTACAACAACAGCAATCACCAGGGGATCCTTTCCTATTGGACTGACTACTGGTATACTGGGCAGACCTGAAAGCAAGAAGAAGCAGTAAAATGTAGATCATCTTTTAAAACTATGAAGGTTCATTCACCAAGTTACCTGTTGTAACAATCAAAGGAATACATTCAGCTGCATAACCCTAATCCAGCATTGTATTTTATATTATTTATACAAACTTGCAGAGCCTCTCCCAACATGGTTTTCCCCCAAAGGAATTCCTAGCCTAATTTGGAGATGTCAGAGACTGAGTAAGTGATTTTTCCCTTCTTTTTGCAGAGTATATGCTTTGTCACTGTGCTATATATTTCTTCCATAGTTTTATCCAAAATTGGGTTTAACTATTTCTCGGTTCTCACCAACCCATTCAAAATCTGTTGTTCCCTAGATCAGGGGTCCCCAACCACTGGGCCCTGGACTGGTACCGGTCTGTGGATCATTTTGTACCGGGCCGCAAAAAATGAATAATCGTGATTAAAATATATATAAAAATATGTTTTTGCTTCCGGGTGTCTTATTTTGAAAGACAAACACTTCCACCCTCGCCTAACTTCCCGTTTGACTCTTTGGCGCGTATTTATCCTACATCAGCAATGCAAGCTAGCCCTTGCAACATGAGCCAGAAACAGAGTTCACTGGAGAGTTTTTTTGGAAAGGGTAAGTTACGGGTTCATCGCTTATTTATTTACTGTTATTGGAACCTTCACGCCCCTACCCGGTCCTTGAAAAAGTGTTTCTGCGTGAAACTGGTCCCTGGTACACTGCCCTAGATGAGACAAAATTGCTAAATGTATACCTTGATTGTTTCCAACATCAAATGCAGTTGTCTTGTGTTCATGTTTAGTTGGTTGCTCTGTCTCTGCTGATAGGATTTTGTGAGGTAAGAGAGTAGAGGAGGCAACCTCAAACGTTACTGATCGAGAAGTATTGGATGTTGTTATTGTGATCACTTGTTCACCAATAGTAGTCCTTGGAGATGATGTGGAAGCAATAGCGTTCTCTTCTGTTAAAACTTTATGGTCCATGACTGGTGGAGTATTTTTTGCTGGCCCCGTGGTAATGAACGTAGATGATTTTGGCTGGGAAGCAGCTGAAGTTCCTGCAGAGAAACATTTAACTGTCAGTAAAGTAAAGGTGTGTGGGAATCCTAGCTCTACTTAATACAGAAATTTAAAAAAAATCTTACTTTGGCCAGATCTTTTCTGAATGTTTCTACAGTTCTAACATAAATCTTGGTACCGTTGTTAGCAAATCTAATCTAAATTATGTGAATAAAGTAGGTCCACAGTTAAGACTTCAGTCTTGGGAGCAGGTTCTATGAAGATAACTGGGGCACTGTGTTGCTCAGTTATCAGGAAAGAGTTTGATGCTATTGGACCTGAGAAAGCAGGTAGGCTCCTCATGACTGTGAACTCAGGCACCTCTGCATTGTTCACACGCGTGTAAATTAACCTTAGTTTGTGCCCCCAGACAGCTGCAAAGTGCTGCATGCAGGTGCGCAGTGTTTGAAAAGCCTCTATTTCCCTGCTTTTTCAACCTCAGCTGTGCCGCGCAAAGCTGAGGTTGAAAAAGCAGGAAACAAAGGACAGGTAAGAGCCCGGGCGGGCGGGCAGGCGAAACAGCAGCAAACACAAAACCAGTTCTGTGTCTGCTGCTCTTCAGAGCTACCGGCTCTATAGAACCGGGCAGAACCAGTAGCATCCCATCCCTGGACAAAAACCATGAACAATGTTCAATGTTTTGTTTTTACTGGCTGTGTATTATAGTTTTTATAATGATTTCATATACCCTCTGGAGCCATCCAGAATTCTGGAGCCCTGCAGAATTGGCGTAAAGATGAGTGGCTATATCAATGTTTTAAATAATAAATAATAAAATAAAATAATTGATATGTAACTGAACACAAGGTGCTAGTAGTGGTGAATTTTTTCTTGAGTGAGGAAGAATTTGATGTCTCATTTGATGTCACAGCACTTTTACATCCACAGACCCAGAATTTGCCAAAGAATCCATGACAGCATTACTACATAGCACACAACCAACCTAACCAAATACGCCAAGATTGAAATACCTAGAATCTTATCAACCTCTGCCTAACTATATACAGCTAGTCAGGTAGTCCTTGACTTACAACAGCTCATTCAGTGACCATTCAAAGTTACAATGGCACTGAAAAAAATGATTTATTTATGACCATTTTTCACACTTATGATCGTTGCGGCATCTCCATGGTCACATCATCAAAATTCAACAACCATGTTACTAACTTATCAACTGCAGTGATTTACTTAACAAATGTGGCAAGAAAGATCGTAAAATGGAGCAAAACTCACTTAACAAATGTCTCACTTAGCATCATAAATTTTGGGCACAATTATGGTCATAAGTTGATAACTCCCTGTACTTTCAGTTCAACTAATAAATATATCAACAAATCAAAGGAACACACACGGGATCACCACTTTCAGGAATAATAGTAGAGACCGTAATGCAATACCTGGAATCAATAGCATTCCCATATATATACAACTCAAATATGGATTTGATATGCAGATGACAATCCTCTCACAATCAAAAAGTGTCAACTAGAGAATACACACGAAACCATTAAATAAACTTCAAAGGAATAAAATTCAGGACCCCATAGTTCAACCTTGAGCTACAAATTTTTCCCTTCTATCGGTAACATATTTTTTAGAACGCCAAGGCCACAGAAATAGTAGGCCACAGAAATAGTTAACCATAACGCTGCAAATGTAGGGTTAGGTTTTTTTTTAGCTCAGATGGTGTTCTCTTTCTTTTTTTCCATTTTTGGAAAATACAGAGTACCTAATTGTAATCTAATATAATGTTTTTACAGGTTGTGATTGTGAAGATGAATTAGTTGAGTCATCCTGGCCATATTTATTAAACTACCTACCATTCAGGGGTTGGATGCTACCGGTTCTGCCCGGTTCTATGGAGCCGGTAGCTCTGAAGAGCAGCAGACACAGATCTGGTTCTGTGATTGCTGCTGTTTCGCCCGCCCACCCACCTGCCCGCCCAGGCTCTTACCTGTCCTTTATTTCCTGCTTTTTCAGCCTCAGTTGCTTTGCACAGCACAGCTGAGGTTGAAAAAGCAGGAAAAAAGAGCTTTTCAAATGCTGCACACCTGCACGCAGCACTTTTCAGCTGTCCGGGTGGCACAGCTTAAGGTTTTTTTACATGCGCATGCAGCAAAACATAGTCACCAAACCAGTAGTAACACCGGTTGAATCCCATCCCTGCTACCATGATAAATTATTGATCATTGCCCAGTCTTACCTTGGGTCTCCTTTGATTGCAAAATGTCTGTAGCCTTAGTGCTGGCAGTCAGCAAGGATGTGGTACTGGTGTATCTTCTGTCATCATCCAGGCCAAACGTATTAGATTCCGGTAAGTTTGTAGTTGGAGTAAGAAATAAAGAAGGATCAGTGCTACTATTAGAGGCATTATTTGCAGTCTGAGTCTGTATCCTTGCTGTGGTATTCAAATATCCAGGTGTAGTAGTGGTCAGATAATCCGGTTGACCAATGCTGCTGACACTAACTTGTAGGGTACTTGTGATAGCATCATCCCTACTAGTTTCAGTGGCTTGGAAGCTTCTAGCCTCAGTGTGAGGAAGCGTGAACGGAGAAACTGCGCTGGATGAAGCAGATGATCCATTCTTCCCATCTCCTGGGTACAGGAAAAACAAACAGGAAAACACAATTTGGCAGCATCCTTACAATGTATGTCTTTCCCTAGAAGATCAGCTAGAGAAATAAGTAGAAAAGAGAAGAAACAGATCCATATCCAAAACAATTGCTGTGAAAGGGACAGCGAATTGGGGAGTGAGTTCTTTTCTAACCGAATTATTTTCAGAAGTTACTACAGCTGACATGTTTTGTACAAATGAAAATCGCCTTGCTCTAATAGAGGAAGCTTAATAAAGTAATTGGGTAAGATTGTGTAGAGATCAAACTGTATGTGATCATCACTGTCATTTTCATGGATAGAATTCAAGGGGTATCAACAGAATTACTGCATCATGAATCAACTAGAATAATATTTTCCCTGAGCTATGCTTGCAGTTTTGCAGATTTAACTATGTTTTGGGCTGTTCTGATTTCCCTAGAAAAACTGAAAATAAAAGAGACCTTTGTCATGTAAAATGTTGCTTGGGGGAAGGGTGGACACCACTTTCAGATTTTTGGAGCATCCGATCCAGATTTCGCAAAACAGACTATCATTGCTCTGAAAGACATAAACTAGACTTTGATTTGAGAGTGGAAAAAGGGAATTACATGCAACTCGTATTAATACAAGTAGTAGTTGGCACCAGGTCAGTTTTGCCTGGGCTTAGAAACTAGGCAGGACTGGACTTGATTAGTAGTTAGATGAGAGCACTAGGGAATGCCAATTTTTTTTATTAGGCAGACAGAAAACAATACACACACAAAACCTGGGTGTGCCTATTTCATTCCAGATTAGAACATGCAGGATTTTAGATTAAGTACCATATTCATTCAGGTTTTCTCTCTGGCTTGAAAATAATATTTTGTGTTGCTCTTTGCCCACCTTATTGACAAACTTGGGATCGGAACAATATTATGATCCTGAACATGAAAACTGGGACATAGCAGTCTTATAGGTATTAGATAAATTAATAGTAATAATGAACCATTCACAGCAGCAGCATCCTAGAGATCACACACAGTGAACTTGTTTCTTAAAATTCCTACATTTACATCCTCAAAAAGTTCTTAATCCTGTGTTCATTTGAAGAAATCTTTCTTTCAGTTAAATACATCATCTTCTATCTTCAGAAAAAGGTTCCTAAAAATTTCCAGATAATAAATGCTCTTTACTGATTCACTTATTAGCATTCTTTATAAATCTTTCGGAGAAAATATGACAATGAACTAAACCTTAATTTGGTATCATTGTAACTTTTAATATCCAACAAAGTTTTTGACTATAATATTTTTAGGAAAATGAGATACCTCTCTGAAGAATCTTTATCTGAGACAGCAGATGACAGGATAAAATCCTCCATCTTCTCCTTCCCAAATGTAAATTGGGAAGTTCACATTTCATAGTCAAATGAATTTGAAATCATACATATGCAATATGAAGGTAAACACACTTGACTTTCTTGCATGACTGTTATAAAGATTACTGCAATTAAAATCTGAAAGTGCCATAAACATGAAATTGCTAACGGATACTTCAGAATTTCCACAGAATCTTTATACTGGGAGGAAACGCACAGCACCTGCCCTTGGCTTAGACATCAATATTTTCTCCTAAAACTGAAAATATAATTCTTCTCTTTCATTGCACTCTACAACCAGCAAAACGAACATTAACATCTAAACATGTTTACATTTTTAAAATTACAATGAAGATGTATCACTTGAAATTTAATTTAAAACATCAGCTTTTGCTGAGCGTGTTTTCAAGAGAAATTACATTCATATATTTATGGTGCTACTGCCTTTTCACTTTTTCCCCTTTTCCCTAATGCAAAGAAAAATCAAAATGCTTAATCTATGATGATTAATTTCCCTTTGCTACAATCTTAAATTTCTTCAAAAGAAAATCCAACTATGCCCAATGTAATTTACTTCTGGGGACAAATCTAGGGCACTTAATAAATTAATAAATCTAGGGCACTTGTGTCTTAGTGTGGGGGAAGATACACATTAATTTTGTGGTTATTGTTGAAATCTCAACTTTGGGCATTTTGACATTCTGCATAATCATTAAATTGATAGAAGCTGTACAACTCTGATTTATACCGTGTCATTCTTAAATAAAGAATCTGGCAAGATAGCAGAAGCATAGTCATATGTAACTATTTTAACCTTAATCAAGAAACATTTGTGATGAAGATACATAATTGCAAATGAAAATAATCTTTTCATTAATATTTATATCTATATTAGCTAAAATGTTCAAATTGGTAATTATGTTATTAATTCTTCTGTATCTCACTATAAGTAGTGAACATAAAAGGAAATACAGTTCCACCCAAATCTAAAATCTCAGTTTACAAATTATTTATATAAAGCAACCAAAATAATAAAGTCACCCAAAATATCTCTACATTTACTCTATTGACAAATATGAATTAAAATATCAGTTAAGTAACTCTTAATCAGTTAAATAAAAATGCACTCATCTATTTGCATATAATTTAAGGTATAATGTTTGTAACCTTACCTTAAAATGGCTAGGGTGGGCATGTCAGTCTGGCATTTGTGAAATGAGACCTTGAACATTTGCATAAAGTTCTAAGCTTACCAAACATACAAGAATTAAAGTATTGAAGTGGCATACAAATCTGAGTAAATAAATCCATGAAACTGAATTGTTTTTAAAAACATCCTCTATATATCTACCGGGATAGAGATGCTAATTTAATTGATACTGTCAAAGTATGTATGAAGTACAACACTGTATTTTGGGATACAGCCAGTCTGGCTCTAACAAAATTATTTTGATGTGTTCTCAAAATCTCTATCTTCTATAGATTTCCCTCATGTTATGGACTCAGATATTAAATAAACATATTACTCTGTTACCTAGTTAATATAGGACATATAAATACCATTATAAAAATGCTATGGTCTTCTAAATGGCCTGAAACAATGATAAAAAACTGCTTTATAAGTAACAGTGCCAGGAGCCATAGAATTATGAGTAGATAAGAGAGGGAACAGTTCATTTGTCTTCACCCATGTGGTCCTTTTGCTTTTCAAATCAGTGCTAGGAAGCTTGGATTTAAAGAAGCTCTGAAGTGATTGTCACTTTGAACCCCAAAAGAAAGGCCCTTAGAACAGACATGCTTTATGCCTGAATTCCCACAACATGCTTAACTTGTTTACTGGGTTCTCCTTAAACATACTTATAAGCCAATCAAACAGGTTAAATTTACATAACATGCTAATACATATACATATGCACAAAATCAAAGTTTGTGAATTCTGAGGCTAGGTATGTAACTGGTAAGTACAACTGCTGGATTTATAATTGACCCAGATAGGTGCATTGTACAAATACACCTCTTTGGGCAGAAGTTTCACCTTCCCATATTCCATCTTATTAAGATGTCCTGGACCCCCCAAATCTTCAATCTGCAATCAGGAAATGCTTTGAAGAAAATATTCTAACTCTGCAGCAAATGCACCGAAGAAAGAAAATTGTGGCTTCCTAGGTAGCAGACGTAAAGAAAGCTAGCAGGCAAAAAAAAAAAAAAGCGAGTGATGAGATTCTGCTAAGTAGTGTAGATAAACATATAACCTGAGTGGGGAAGAAAGAAAGCCAGGTTTTGAACCAGAGATCCCACCCAAACTGTTCTGAACCTGGCAGTCTACTTCTTAAATATAGGAATAGACAGCATTTCTGGGTGTATTTCAGAGTGTGTTTCCCAAACTACTGTTCTGATCAAGCCTTATTTGAGTTCCCAAATGCTGTGGTGGTGGACGTGGCAGCTTCAGCTCTATCACCACTCACTTGGTAAACAACAAGCCCAAGTGAAGACCTGCATCAAACCTGGGAGCTTCAGCCCTGGGGACAAGAACTGGGTGCCAGTCCTAAGGAAGGACACCCCACAGCCCATCACACTGTGAACTAAGGGAAGCCTGAACTTCTAGCTGGCCAATGAATGAGCTCCTCCAGGAAATTTAGGCTGAAAGCGAAACAGAGAGAAAGGCTCAACGCAATGCCTTCTTAGACAGCAGAAACTTTGGCGCGTCCAACCCAAACTGGACGGGCAGAGTCGCCAGGGGGAGGTCTGCCAGGGACTTTTGCTTTTGCAATGGCTTCTCGGGTTCCTCAGGAGTCTGGGATACTTCCAACCGCGCCTGCTTGCACCCGAGACCCGACCCTTTGAGAAGGGATGGAGCGAGCGACGCACGTACCTGGCAGAGACAGGAGGCTTCCAGCGAGGAAGCAACAAACGGCCGTGAGGTTGTATAGGGAGCGACGAATTCCCACCATGGTGGGCCGGCCCTAGCGGCGATCGGTCGGGGCAAGGGAAGGAAAAAAAGAGAGAACCGGCGCCCCCGGCAGCGTCTCTAAAGATCTGGTCCTGGAGGGTGAGTCACTGCCACGTGGTTCATTCACAAACACAAGGAAGGGACTAGTCGGGGCGTGTTGCGGCCTCCCCAACTCCTGACAAAACAGACCGGGTTCTTCAGTTGTCCCGCATCGTTCGCAGGGCCCCCTGCGAAAACAAAAATCTACCCCACTGACTGGGGGCCGCCCCCTCTCCCAGCTGAAACTCCGAAGCCGATGCTTTCTCCGCAATTGACCAGAGTTTTTCTAGAAGAGCAACAAGAGGAGCCGCCGCGAAGCGTTTGCCTGGTTGGTAGCCCAACACTCCGTCCCACTGACAAGAGTCTGGGAACAAACCGGTGGCGCTTGCGGGAACAGCTCCGCCCCTTCACCGTCGGAGCCGGGGGGTCAAAGCAGACCATCGTCTCCTCCGCGATAGGGACGGAATGAGCTTTGAGAATCTGTTCAACGTTCATCCGTGCTGGCTGAACAAGTCTGGTTGCCCTGCCTGGAGAGAGAATCCACGAAGGAGAATCCAGAAGTAAAGTCCGCAGATCTGGAAAAAAAAGTCTCAGATTATATGTTTACCTTTTCTGAGCTGACACGCCGAAAACCAATATAATGCTTCATTAAAAATAGCACCTAACAAGTTTACTCAACTAGGTGGCAGCACATAGCTCATCCTGAGAAAAAAAACCCTAACATTGTCAGAACTTTAGTGAATACATTTGTGGCTGAAAGGCTCACTAACTGGCTAAAACTAATCCATTTGTCATAGAAAATGTAATTTATTTAACCCATTTAATCTCTGGGTAATTATTAAAATCAAGCATTCCTTTGCATTGAAATATAATTATATGTATAATGAAGGGCAGGATTAATTACTACTAATTAATAGAATTGCCAAAGGCAAATAAACTTGACTGTAAGGCAAATTGCATTCTGAATACAGAAACCTGACTTTTTGGAAAAATATGCATTTTGGCTATTCTGCTATACCAGATTACAGATTAGTTTACAATAATTATTACATCAAAAGCATAGGCCAATATGAGCCACGATGAATCATCATGTGCCATGACATCAACACACAAATGCTGCAAATTGTATAATTTGTACAGGTACCAAACCTCATAGTATCCTAAGAATTACAACTACTCTTAATATTAGCACAAACTATATTTGAACTAAAACTTTATCCTATGTCAATACTTATATTGGCAGTGTATTAAAAAAAAAACCCAGTCTTGCAGTAGTGGTAAATATATTAAAGGAAATATTGACCTAGGGTTTACTGTGGCTAAGTGGCTGACAGGTTATGTCATGCAGACTAGATTAAACCCAATTAGATGGATTAGTTTTTATGCTGTTTGTTATGCAGAGCCAGTCAATTGGCCAAATGCAGTAAACCATAGTTTAATGTTGTGTGAATAAACCTACTGAATAATTTAGCCAACCAGATTTTACTTACCTAGTATATTTTGTCAAAGTAATCACTTTTAAAGAAACAGTATTGGCTATCTTAAACAGACTTAGGAGCTCTCAAAATATTACTGGATATTGTTGTAAATAAAGCTGAACTGAGGGGACCATTTCTATCCTGCTGTTATTTATCTGTTCAGTTTGTACAACCTTCCCACTAAACATGCAACTCTGAGCAGAGTTGCAACTCTGAACTCTAAAATCCAGCTAAAACAACAAAGCCACTAGCAAAAATCAAAATCCAATGAGGCATTTGATTTTTTTTTCTTTTTATGATAATTTAATCCTTTTATTCAGGGTGGAGTTGCGGCGACTGAATTGAATTGTTTATCAAATGAGGCATTTGATATAACTATATGAATCACTATATAAATCAACCCCCAAAAAGTGAGATCATCTAACTTCTTGGCACTAAATCTGAAGAGAAAAAAACAAGACAAGCAGGATGAGAGCCATCTTGGATCTCGGAAATAATTCTACAAGGGAGGCACAGTCAGAAGATACATTTCCTGGATCCCATCAACCCACTTCACAGGATTGTTGTTATGGGGAAAACAGGAGGAAGACGGAGTATTAGATAAGTTTGCTACCTTGAGTTATTTATATAAATAACAAAGATGGTATAAAATGCATTTAAAAATAAATAAAAAATGATATTTTTAATAGAAGGACATGTCCATCCTGTCAGATTTTATGGATTGGGCAGAAATACCTGCAGATAGGCTGTTTTGCAAATAATCTGGCTCTGTGCCTGAAGGGCTCTCTAAATACAACCAGCATCTTGTATTGAAGAAAATTACTTGGAGCTAATGCAGCTCACAAAAAAAAATGTTATATGCTCATATTACAGTGTGCCCATAATTTGTGCTGCTGCATTATGGAGGCAGATGCAGCTTCTGAGTGGTCTACAAAGGTTACTTGTAGAGCTCATTGTAGTAATCAGATAGGAGGTAACCAAGGTATGAGTGAACATGAGCAGAACCTCCCATCCAGGAATGAATTCAGTTGGTGCACAATATGGATTTGTATAGGAAGTCACTTAGTGATGGCTGCCATCTACTCTTTAAGAAGGAGCCAAGCATTCTAGAAGAAACCCCAAATTACATACCAGTTTTGTTTGGAAAAGCCCAACCTAGTTCATTACTGGAAAATAACCAGATCTAGGGCAGGCCTTAAAATTATAGCCATTCAGGTTGTGGTGACTTGGACTGGAAGAAAGAGACTTAGGCTCCACCCTAGCAAGATCCACAGATGGAAATATCCTTCTGGGTTCAGTTCCAAGTGGAGAAAAAGACACTGGAAACATGGGGGCTGTTTGGAAGGTTTAACGGTGGACAGGACCACATGGCCTGGAGCTCCTGAGTGAAAAGAAAGGATGATCACATGCTTCAAGGTGAAAGAAGAGATCAAGAAAGGACTGATATGCTGAGAGAGCCTGGGTTTTATAACCTTTGTTGGGATTTGAATTGGAGCTTGTATTCTGATTGGTTGTCAGACTCCCATGGGGCCATGCAGGGCAATTCTGTAGGCTGTCCTGAGTTCCAGGCTTGACTGAGCCTTGATGATGCATTGAAAAGGGCTTTTGGACAATTGCTATAGTTTTACCTGGAGATCTTTGTTATGTAAAGTATTCTGGCCTTAATGGCCCACCCATTAACAAAGGTGGGGGTGAGCTTCTGCTTCTGAGATGAGTTTCTGCTTCTGAGTTTCTACTCTTTTTTAGAGGAAATATTCTGCCTTTTTAATATTTCCCAGGAGATTTCATTTTTCTAGGAGAGGGGTGGGTGCTAACTTCCTACACTATCAAAGCAGAAAAATAGTTATATTTTGGTGTTCTTAGTACTAGAAGGTACCGTAATCCTTAAAAGACTCCTATCGGTGTGCATGTTTAATTGGATTTGATCTTCATCTTTTCCTTGTAACATTCTAAGATCTCTTCTGCCCTCTTCTGTCATTTGATCTCCCAGAGTTTCTTTGAAAACCACAGGCCTCCTTGGAACTCATGAACGCATAGGTAGTAATCTGAGTGATGGCTACTATCATTCTGAAAAGGAATTGCTCTGCCAGCATTCCCCAGTTAACACAAACTTCTTTGAGAGACAGAGATTTTTCAGACCTAACGTTAATTGTCAATCCTTATTTCAGTCTTGTCTCATATTTTCATTCTTTCTCACCAGCTTTGTTTTTGCCTTTTATCCATTTCCATTTAAAATACTTTTTTCTATTTTAATTTCTAAAGAAGAACTGTAACACAAAATGTTAGGGATTTTAATTTTACGTATCTAGAACTTTTGAAATTGTTCACTAGTTTGAACACAAGATGTCACTCACATGTTAACTTTTATTGAATCACAGACTGATACATATACCTATAAATGTTAATCTAAGCTGTTTCCTGGGCAAAACTTGCAGACACACACCCAATTGCTATCCTGGACAAATTTTACACTTTAATTAGAATATATTAATTTTCCCTGAACAACATAAAAAGATTGGAAACTACTGCTCAATACTATTTCTGCCAAGTATTTTACTACACAACAAACATTTTGAGGAATGCTTTTGGGTTTTAAGGGGGCCTTAGAGAATTCAGAACTGTGTTTTCCAGTTGTCTCTGTAAATAAGCAATGATTTTAGACCTTCCAGTGTCATTTGTTTTCTATATTCCAAATAGGGAAAATTCATTCTACAAGAGCATTTATGCCAAGCTTCTACTTGGAAAATTATACCAGGCCATAAAAATGGACATATTTCCAATATCTATGATGGTTTTGGGCCAAGTGCTCATGTGCTGGCTTTTTTTCTTCTTCCATTTGGCTTTTTCTCTAGAAATATTTATTTGCACATATCATTATCAAATAATTCTGTTTCATTGATGTTATAGTTACAAAGCAGAAACAGCTCAATTTAGTAGGTTTAAATTTAACTAGTATTTGGATAGGAGACTCTAGGGAATACCAGGGTTATTCTGTGGATCAAAAATATATCCCACAAGACAGTGGTAAATCACTTTTGTACTATGGCCAGAAAAACAACATGGTGTGTGTGTATTTAAATAACTCATCAGCAGGAATTGTTCTACCTGTTTCCAAATGGGATCTGGTCCTTCAGGGCCCATATGAATGACTGCAGCTCATTGAAAAGTGCTCTCCCCACCTTTTTTTTTTTAAATTAAGCAACATGTACATATTTCTGGAACTGGTTTTCTTTTCAAGAAAAGCCTTGACCTGCAGCTACATGAAACACATTCATCTCTTCTTTTAAACAACTTTTCTTTTCAGGTCTCTCCATTTCATGACAATGTCTATCATGCTGGTATTTTGTTTTCTATACAGTAACCAGTATTGTGTTGTTGAACAGAGAACTGATTGTACAGAACCAGAGCCAGATTTCACCAAGAGCCATCAGAACATAAGTTTTGAGAGCTGAAAGGATTTTGCTTGTGCTGAGAAACTGCAATATTCCAATCAATAAAATCACACGATTTCTTCCAATGGGTAGTTCTAATGGCACAAATATGGAAGTACTATACACTTAGACTTTGGTACAAGGGCTCAGTGCCAAGAGGTACTTTTTTAAGCAATAACTGTACTGCATTTTGGGCAATATAGGCTGGCGACCCTCTCCAATTAAAGGGTTTTCAAGGATTACTTCTTTCAGTCTGAAAAAAAATGTTCCCCCCACCTTTTAGTTTATTATCAAAATTGGCAATTTTCTCACAAAATAATAAGCTTTACATTCCATTCTCAAGGCTGGAGAAACTAACTAAAAATCCAGTTTTATTTTAAATTACTTTGAACACACACATATTCATAAAATGAGTAGATGTATAAAATGTTTTCTGAAAAAAACAGACATGGGATGGTGATGTAAATGAAAGCAATTCAGGAAATAAAGCATTAATCTGGGAGAGTAATTATCAGGAGAGCAATAGCTCCTGCAGAGGCTGGAACAGTCAGAGGAATGGATACACCCACCCTTTTCATTATGCCACCTCAAATAGAA